CGGCACAGCGGCTCAGCGGCGCAGCGGCACAGCGACACGATGGCTTGGCGGCTTAGCGGCTAGGCGGCTAGGCGGCGCGGGTGTTCAGCAACTCGGCTCGGCGGCTCGGGGACACGGCGGCTCAGGCGACGAGGCCGGCTAGGGCGCAAGTGGCCGGCTAGGGCACAAGGGGCTGACTAGGGCGAGCGGGGCCGGCAAGGGCGCGTGGGGCCGGCTAGGTGCGCGAGGAGCCGGTAGGGGCGCGGGGGGCTGGTAGGAGCACGAGGGGCCGTAGGGGTGCGAGGGGCCGGCGTGGGGCGCGAGGGGCCGGTAGGGGTGCGACGGGGCCGGCTAGGGGCGCGAGGGGCCGGTAGGGGCGCGACGGGGCTGGCAAGGGGCGCGAGGGGCAGTAGTGGCGCGTGGGGCCGGCTAGGGGCGCAAGGGGCCGGTAGGGGCGCGACGGGGCCGGCTAGGGGCACGACGGGGCCGGCTAGGGGCGCGATGGGGTTGTAGGGGCGCGACAGGGCCGTAGGGGCGCGACGGGGCTGGCAGGGGTGCGACGGGGCTGGCTAGGGGCGCGACAGGGCCGTAAGGGCGCAACGGGGCCGTAGGGGCGCGACGGGGCCGTAGGGGCGCGACGGGGCTGGCTAGAGGCGCGGGGCCGCAGGGGCGCGATGGGGCCGATCAGGGGCGCGACGGGGCCGTAGGGGTGCGATGGGGCCTGCCAGGAGCGCGACGGGGCCGTAGGGGCGCGCGGGGCCAGCTAGGGACGCGAGGGGCCGGTAGGTGGCGGCACGGGGCGGAAGCGGGTGGGTGGACCTACCTACTCGTGATACCATATTGAGATTAGAAAGAATGATTAGAAGAATGGAGAACAGGAGAGATATAGCGTTTGGGTTGTACCCACTAAAAACATACCCTATATAGCCTATAACTTCTACATAACAATATATGTATAAGTTGACATGATAGTGTTCCAAGAGGCGAATGCGTCTTCAGTGTAAAAAATTGTACAGCAGTGCAGAAGACTAAGTATAGAATCTGCGGACGCAAGTACTTGAAGTAGAAAATAATACTAGAAGTACCTCCAGTAACAACCAATAACAAGCTGTAACACCAGAATCAATGTTACAGCCTTGTGATACTTCAAGAATTGAGCAAGGATCTTTCTTGGAATGCTAGACTAGTACCGTATTTGCCTGGATTTACAGTAACGGAAACAATTATCTGGATGTTTTGCATTAATTAGGGTTTTTGGGCTTTTCGACCAGTGTACATAAAGTCTTAATGTTTAATGGAGGTACACTTTGGGAGGGGCACATAGTGGATGTGTTCACAGCACAAAAATCCATGATAGTAGACTGGATCTAACTTAGTGCCAAAAGATATACGAAGAGTACATCAGGACAATTGTTTCCCAGGACAAAGAGCAAACTTCCGCGAAGAGTTTCTAGTACCTAGTCCACCAACAATTGCCTTGATCACCTCTTGCACCCTCCTAGGCATGTTATCTATGAGGTTAGTGCAAACCATTACAGGGATCTTCTTGCATTCTTCCTGGACCCACGCTTTTGCATAAGAGGGTGAGCACTAGGAAAATTGCGAAGGGTTTGAGCGTATGCAAGAGTATTGTGAACGATTTCTGACTGAATGTTATCTCTGAGACTAGCCATGCTGAGGTGTGACCAAAGATGCCATAAGTCGATTGACTCCGTCTTACCACGGATCGTCTTCCTCGTACCGTTGTAGGGTAAAATTACGACCAGAATGGTGAAAACTAGCGTATCTGTCGCGAAACTTAGGGTAACGTAGCACGGTCGACTGTGCACCCTTGCACTATTAGAATCATGCTAGGATTCGTAGGTCTCATCACAATGCAGCAGTCGAAAGAGTTGCGACTGTTCAGAAAGAATATCCGGGTTGAGGTGTGGTGAGGAAAAGAGTCACTCCAGTTCAAAATACTCATACTCTCCAAGCCATTTCAAGCCATGTGTCCTGCCTAGGCTTGGAATGGCTTGGAGAGCATGAGTTTATAGCACTTGAGTGGCCCTCATCCTTACCAGACCTCAACCCAGATATTCTTCCCCACCAGTTGGGGCTTCTTCGGCTGCTGCACTGTAACGAGACTTGTAGATTTTAATGTGATTCTATTAGTGAAAGGGTGCACAGTCAACCGCGCTATGTTACCCTAAGTTTTGCGACTGATGCGCTAGTTTTCACCACTCTGCTCGTAATTTTACCCTACAACGGTACGACGAAGATAGTTAGGAAGCTATGGGAGCCAGAGAAATGGCGTGAGGTTTAGGAAGGAGAAATATCGAGAGAGAAGGGAGTTTGGACTAGAAGAGAAGGAGATACAAGGGGGGTAGTTCCCTCTACAGTAGGATTCAGTAAGTAGAACAACTACCAAGCCTACAATTATATATATATAATATATTCTTTAACACACCCCCTAGGCTTGGTAGTGGCAAGCCCATCCCACCCTCAGCACCCCCATTCCTTGCAGCAGCAGTGGCGTCGACCAGCTGGTCGTGAGATTTAGGAAGGAGAAATATCGAGAGAGAAAAAACTTTGGACTAAAAGAGAAGGAGATACAAGATGGGGGTAGTCCCTGTTATAACACGAGAATGACTAGAAACAAGAGAGCACAGGGGAGATATAGGATTGGAGTTGTACTCTCTAAGAACACATACCTATCTAGCCTACAACTTCTACATACCAACATATGTATCAGTTGACACACCCCCTAGGCTAGATAAGGGGCAATGCTGTGCAAGAAACATGCAGCTCAGGGTGGCACTACTAGTCCAACCTCTGAGGCAGGGGTCCGAAGACCAGTCAGCAAGAGTACAAACAAGACAAGAGCAAACCAGGGCGGCACTACTAGTCTGGCCACTGGAAGAGAAACCACAAGGACTGTCTGGAAGGTATACGAGGAGTAACACAATCAAGGTCCTAGCAAGTGAAAATCCACAGGAACTAGACCAAGCTGCAAACAGTGCCGCTAATGATGTTTAGGCTCAAGCACCTTAGGAAAGATATACGCTGTGTTGGCACTGGAGGCCAAGTGTACTACGCGGGCCTTGCGATGCTGCTGTAGCTCGCGCACGAGCTAGTACCTCAGCTGGATGTGCATCGCTCTGCCCTCAAGTCGAGGCTCCTGACACAGAAGGATCATGGCCTTAGAGGATATGCGAGATATGGACGAGTGCAAGACATCAGGTACATGAGGCAACCCACCAGCTCTGCGGAAGGACCACTGGGCTCTACTGACTCCTCAGGAACTGGAGCTGAGAGCCTGTATTCTACTGGCAGAGGTGTGGGCTGTGCGGAGGAGAACTGAAGACCGAACCTCTGAAGGACCTGGCGCACCAAGTGTGACTGTGTTAGAGTGATGGTGCGCGCTGCTCTGTCCGTGGAGATCTGCAGGCCAAGGTAGCGGCGCAACTCTCCTAGGTCAGTGCAGGTGTGTCTCCTCATCAGCTTGGCCATCACGGAGGCCAGCGCATCTCTGTCTGCAGTAGCAAAGACCAGGTCGTCTATTTAAACATGGATGTAGAATGGAGTCTAGCCAGCACAAACGAAGAGCGAGGGGTCTGCAGAGGACGGAAAGAACTGCAGGTCAGCTAGCCTAGCACGCAGCGTGTCGTGCCACTCACGGGGCGCCTATCGCAGGTCGTAGACAGGGCGCCAGAGGATCCAGTGGGTTCCAGGAGGGAAGGTACCGGTGAATCCCTGTGGACGGCGCAAGTAGACCTGCTCGGGTAGGCTACCCTGAAGAAAACCTGTGAAGTCAAGGGAGTGAAGCTCGTAGTCACGCTGTGCAGATGCGTGTAGCAGCGCGTGAAGAGTAGTCATCTTCGGGGTCGGGGCGAAGGTATGAAAGAAGACCACCCCGTCTCGCTGACTGTAGCCTCTAGCCACATAGCGCGCCTTGAACACAGGCAGCTCTCCATGGGGGCGCTTCACCTTGAAAAGCCACCGGCCATCGACTACGTTCACATCAGGCGGGGGAACTGCGTCGATGTAGGTGCCGGTGGATCTCGAAGATGCCATCTCGTGGTCCATGGCAGCTATCCAGTAAGAGGCCCAGGGTCCCGAGGTCACCTCAGCATAAGTGCGAGGGGTCGGGATGTCAAAGTCGTCTGGGTCACCCTAAGGGACTAGCAGCATGGAGCAGAGATGGGGAGCGACCTCAGACAGGAAAGCAAGCTCGTACTGCCTGTCCTCTAGGACGTCACTGCCAAGGGTAGGAGCACCGCCGACAGACGGAGGACGGACAGGGTCAGAGACCAGATCGGTGGCATAGTCAAGGCGGCAGGTAGAGGCAAAGTCAGCAACAGCAGCGACCAGAGCGTCAAGACTGGAGACAGGGACAGACCGGTCGGTAACGAGGGAGGCAAGTACCTGAGGAACAAGAGGACGAGTGGCAGGAAGGTAGTCAGACCGAGGGGGAGGTGCGACAACGAGCAACGATGGAAGAGGCGAAGGCAGGAGGGGAGGACGAGACCAGACATGAGACGGAGGCGTCGGGTCAAGAGACAAAGGTGGGAAACAAGCCGGGGACGAGTCCGGCTGAGGAAACACAGGACCGTGGACAGGAAGGGGAGGAGGCGGCGGGGGAGGCGCATGCGAGCGGTCAGGGGAGGGAAGGCCGAGCAGGCGAAGGGGGACACCACTGGCGACTGCTGTTGCTGCTGCTCAATGCCGCCAGCTGCACCACGGCTACCTCCGGAACACTCCACTCGAGCACCCCCAGAACGAGCACCCTCTGAGTGAGAACCCTCTCCAGCAGCGGTGCCACCCCCGAGCCCGCCGGGACAAGCCGCGACAGGAACCCCAGGACTAGTACCCTCCTCAACACCAGCACCCCCAGAGTCCACGAATAGCTGCTGCTTCTGCGGCGGCGGCGACTGCTACAATGACGGCTGCGGCAACTGCAATGATGGCTGCGGCGGCAATTGCGATGGCGGCAGCTGTGGCTGCTGCGGCGGCAACTACGACAGTGAAGGAGGAGACACTGGGGGCAAGAATTGTGCCGTGGCGCCACCAGAGTCAGCCATCTCCTTGACTAGGACAACCGACGGGAGGGGAGTGACGTGAGACACACCATACGGAGCAAGACAGGGAGGGAGGTGAGCAGGGGCTACCGGGGCAGTGGGAACCAGAAACAGGGGAGGGGAAACCGGGAGACCTCAGTGGGGAAAGCGGTGGTAAAAGGCGACAAACTCATCGAAAATGGCGTCACGAGGGTGAAAGAAGCGGTGAGACGGCGGGTGGTAAAAGTGCCAGTCAGACAAGTCTAGGTGGAAACCGAGGAAGACACAGGGGACAGTGTGGGCAGTGAGCTGGTCCGTGCCAGAGGCACGCACATGAGTGAGGCAGCCTTAGACGTGGAACGCGGATGCATCACCACGGGACCCCATCCAAAGAAGGGTCGGCGAAACCTGTGGCCATTGGGAGCATGCCAAAAGTTATGCTGGGGAGCGGCGTAGCGAATGGCGAATGGCCACAGAAAATGGGGTGCACCGGCATGAATCATGGAGGTACGAGCCACCTCCATGACCAAACCGATGCATCGCTCAGCAACCCCATTCTGCTGTGGGGAGTCCGGTAGGGTGTAGATGATGCCCCTCCACACGATAGAACTGTCCAAGCCGACCAGAGGCAAACTCGTCACCACAGTCGGAGTGGAGACATAGCACAGGGAGGCCGCAGTGGAGGCGCGCAGCTACTACCCACGGGATAAGAACGTCAGGCACGTCGGCCTTCCGCTCCAGGGGAAACACCATGGTGTAGCACATGTAGTCGTCAACAAGCATGAGAAAGTAGCGGTCCAGGGACCGGGGCTAGGCCCCAGACGTTCAGGTGCAGGGTCTGGAGGGGTGCGGTGGCATGGTGAAGCGAGGAGGAGTGAGGAGCACGGCGCAGCCGACCCTCTACGCAGGGCGTGCACGGCGGCGCAGGCGAGGGAGGGAGGGCAGGAAGCGACGCAAGGAGACCTAGGATGAGATCGTGCTGGGACATGTGACGCAGACGCCGGGGTGCGGGGTGACTTAGGCGGTGGTGCCACAGAAGGTGACAGGTGAGTGAGCGACCGACACGAGCAAGCAGCGGCAACTTGGGTAGACGTAGGGCCCGGGGAGAGCGCCCCAACTGGGGGGGAAGCAGTGTCCAGCGTAAACAGGCTAGACACACGGGTCCTGGGGGAACGTCGCAAGGGGGGAACTTGAGGCGGCCTCGGTACAGACAGCGTACTGCTCGTGACCACGGTTTAGGGCCAGCATACAGAGAGTGCAGGGCAGAAATAATCTGATCCATGTCTAGGTCAAAAACATTCACACCGCGACGCATCAGGCTGGGCCAATCGGGGAGGTTCGGGGCCGAGCCGAAGCGGCGATGGAAAAGGTCATCGAGGCGGCGGAAGCAGCGGGCGGTCGGGTGCGGGCGGCGTCACACAGTGCCGCGGAGGGGCCTGGTCTGGAGCTGGTACTGGCAGTTGACAGCACCAAAACTGTCGGTAGACGAAGAGCTGCGAGGGCCACCACCGCGGCCACCACCTCTAGACGCTCCTGGCCACCCTGGCGATAGGCGGGCCCATGGCTGCTGCTGCGGCTGTTGCGTCTGTTGCGTCTGTTGCGGCTGCTGCTGCTCTTGGACACAAGACCCAACCCCTTCGTCAGAACCACTGTCCCCGCCACCACCACCTCCACCAGCACAACCACCACGCCCTCCCATGGGGCCACGGCAGCCACGACGCTATCGCGGCTGTGGGAAGGCCGCAGCTGCGGTCTCAGTGGCAGGAGCAGCCGTAGCGATCGCGGCGGAAACGTCAGCGTACGTGCACTGAGAGGGAGCACAGCCCTGAAAGATAGGGACTGCCGCAACACCGCTTGACTGGCCGATAGTGCATTGGCGAGTCTCTATCTTAGACAGGGCAGTGACAAAGGCGGTCAGGGTGAGGTCACCAGGGTGTTGGCTAAGGAAGTGGTCGCGTGCAGTGGCTAAGCGGTTAGGCAGGTGCATGGCAATAAGGTATAAGGTAGCACAGAACGGTGGGGGGAAGGCATTGAGCTGGGCGGCAGTGCTAGCAGCGCGGTAGCTAGTCTCTAGTGCACGGAGGTGAGTAGCAAGGTCAGCGACAGTGGGGAAAGCAGAAAGATCGGGGAATAGCATGAGGAGGATCAAGCGGCCAGCGGAGGTGTAGGCGGGTGTGGAGTAGCGTGCAACTACTGCATCTAGAAGATCCTTGGCGTTCGCGATAGCAGTGAAGCACGGACGCTCAGACAGGGGAAGCGGATCACAAATGGCAAGCTGCGCTACAGCATCGCGAGAATCCCAGACAGCGCGAGCGAGCGCAGCAGCAGAAAACGCCTCACTCTCAGCAGTGGTGGGGTCAGCATGGAGGGGATCAGGCGCGGGGGGGCGGGGAAGCAAGCCATCAACATGCATAGCCAGGGAGTGCCCATCCTGGCGCTGACCTGTCAAGTGCCAGCAAAGATCGACAAGCCAGGCAGCGAGGTCGATTGCGTGCCCCTCTGCGTCCAGGCAAAGTACGGCATCCGCCATCGTGCAACCACATCGGCACAGCATCACGGCGGCACAGTTGTACAGCAACACAGCGTCACAGTGGCACAGGTACTCGGCGGCACGGCGACACAGCGGCAGGACTCTTCGGCGAGAAGACCGGGCGGAAGTCCGAGGAGGGCCCGAGGTGCGTAGAGCTGGCATGGCGTAAAGGGTCGGCGGAGCGCTGGGGCCAGGTGGCGCGCGAGGGCCAGTGAGCGCTCAAGGGACCGGCGGGGCGTTAGGGCCAGCGGGGCGAGAAGGGCCGGCGAGGCGCTAAGGTCCGGGGAGGCGCGAAGGGGCCGGCGAGGTGCGAGGGGGCCGGCGAGGCGTGAAGGGGCCGGCGGGCATGGGAGGGGCTGGTGAGGTACGCGAGGAGCCGGCGAGCGCGTGAGGGGCCGGCGAGCGCAAAGGGCCGGCGAGGTGCGCGATGGGCCGGGTGGGTGCGCGAGGGGCCAGGCAGGTACGGGAGGGGCCGGCAGGGTACACGAGGGGCCGGGCGGATGCGAGAGGGGCCAGTGAGGTGCGAGGGGCTGGCGGGGCGCTAAGGGGCCGGCACGGCGCGCTAAGGGCCGGCGGGGTACATGAGGGGCCGGCGTGGCGCTTAAGGGGCGGCGGGCACGCTAGGGGCTGGCGAGGTGCGCGAGGGGCAGGCAGGCACGCTAGGGGCCGGCGGTGTACGTGAGGGGCCAGCGCGACGCTTAATTGGTGGCAGGCACGCTAGGGGCCGGCGAGTTGCTCGAGATGCCAGCGGGGTGCTAGGGGCCGGCGAGTATGCTAGGGGCCGGCGGGCACGCTTGGGGCCGTCTGGGTGAGCAAGGGGCCGGCGGGGCGCTAGGGGTCAGCGAAGGGGGGGTAGGCTAGGGCGAGGGCCAGAAGCGGGTGGGCGGACCTAACCTACTATGATACCATGCTAGAATACGAGAATGACTAGAAACAAGAGAGTACAGGGAGATATAGGGTTGGAGTTGTACTCTCTAAGAACACAAACCTTCTAGCCTATAACTTCTACATACAAATATATGTATAAGTTGAGAGTCCCCTCTACAGTAGGATTCAGTAAATAGCACATCTATCAAGCCTACAATTATATATATGAAATATATAATTTAACACAATTTCCCTCCAGCAGTTCATCATCCAATTTCGATGCGAAAACGCCGACAGGGAAACGTGAAACAGGAAGGCAAAGTACACCAGGGCAGCACTATTAGTCTGACCACTGAGATAAGAGGCCACAAGGCCAGTCAACAAGTGTAGCAAGACAAGCAGATACAGTATGACTCATGATACAAGGAGTGGTGCTGCTACGAAGACGAGACCAAGCTGAGTACAGAACCGCCGATGGTCACGAGGCGCAAGTGCCTTGGTGAAGTTATCAGCGGTGTTGGCCTCTGAGGCCAACTGCACCACTCGAGCCTGGCCGCGCTGCTGCAACTCACGCAGCAGGAAATTATCTATGACTCAAACGGTAAGTTGTAAATTGGATCTGGAGCATGTTGCTGTCGCTTATCAGTAGCAATCGAATCATGAAATTTCATGACGATTTGATGACGCTATGGCGGTTTGCCTGGCTGGATGTATAGCAACCACTATAGTCTTAGAAGTTCAAACTTAGCAAGAAAAATCGAGATTGAGATGGTTCCCAACCTCTAGAAACCCCAAGAGTCGAGGTATAGGTTGGTGGTACCTCACCACAGAGTCCCCAACCATGGAGACACTCGAAACAAACCCAAGAAGGGGCTGCACCAAGTGATATATAACACTACACAAAGTAGCCTTACTATTTTGACTATTATATTATTTAACCATGTCCCTTGGGCTTGAATTCTTGAGCTCTTGGCCTTGGATCTTCAACATAAATTCTTTTTGAGTTGATGAGGGCTTACCTACGACGTGATGGACAATTCACACTCGACACAATAGGAAAACTCACGTGACGTGCAAACGACGACTTGACATGCGAGTACTGAAAACTCGCTAATGTCTTGACCAACACAAACCACATTGTGATACACCATTCAAGCGCATGCAAACACTAGATAGCAATGCCACAGACTCACAAGTCATTCCATGCCATGCATGGACACACACGAACAAGGATGACAAGCCGAGTGCAAGCCATAGCGTTGCAGCAACACGACCTACGTGAGCGGCCTAGCTTGCCCTGGTCCTGTTTGCTCATAATAGGGCCATGATCCTCCTGTGTCAGGAGGCTAGGCTTGAGGGCAGTGTGAAGCACATCCAGCTGCAGTACTTTCTGCTGCGTGAGTTGCAACGGCGCGGTCAGGCTCGTGTAGAGCAGGTGGCCTCAGAGGCCAACACTGCCAACACTTTACCAACTACCTAGGGCCTCGTGGCCATCAGCGGTTCTGTACTCAGCTTGGTCTAGTCTCAATAGCCTCTCCCTTGATAGTATCCTGATCTATGCTATACCGGCCCTGTACTTGGTACCCTATATTGGTTGTCTTGTTACACTTACTAACTGGCCTTTTGGCCCTTGTCTTAGTGGTCAGACTAGTGGTGCTGCCCTGAGCCGTTTTGTTACACACTCCAAGGGCCAGACTAGTAGTGTTGCCTGGGTTTCTATTTATTGTTAGGCCTGCACCTTACCCAGGCTGTGGGTTGTGTTAGCATTCATATATGTGTTAGCCTAGCTAGGGTTCAGGCTCATATGAGGTACAACACTGGTTATACCCAACTGTTTTGACTTGCCTAGTCAACATTTCTCGCGATAAAAAGGGCTTGTTGATTAGCGGGTCAGCGCGCCCATAGCCCCCCAGGCATAGCAGACTGTGGCCCTTTAGAGGATCTTCTAGGGCGACCCCATTGGGTCTCTCGACAACCCCCTCGTTGGGGTAGGTGGAGGACTCGGCACTCCTGCAGTGCACACTGGGATTCGAAACTGAGACCTCTCTTTCTGATACCATCTCAGATTGCACAGCCGCTAACCACTGTGCTAAGCGGGCTTGTTAAGTAACGGGCCAGGGCGCCCATAGCCCCCTAGGCATAGCAGCTTGTGGCCCTTCTAGGGCGAACCTAGTGGGTCTCTCGACAACGCAATCCCTGTGACCGTTGCACTACGGCATCCTTTATTGTCAAACTCTTGTGTAGAGGTGTTTTATGTGGTGTGTTGTGTTGTAACCTGGACGACGGCTTACATCGGGTGGATGGTAGGGCGCTGCTATGGTTTTTATGGGTTCTAATCAATTTTTGGGTGGGGGGGGGGGGGGGGGGGGGCTTAAACGTCAGTCAACGGAGCTCCTAGCG